TTAATGATTCTATGATTCTATGAAGTTAACCCATCTTTGAGCAAGCCAATCCCCAGAGACCCTTCCCAAGCAAAATTACTGAGTGTCCTTTCAGCTACTGATCTTTAGGAACCTCTGGGACAAACTGCCCGCCAAGTGGTTACTCCAGCTACCTGGAGCCTATGTCTCATCTCTAACATAAATGAAGTGAAGGGGGATGGCTCCAGGCCCGGTTAAAAACTTGTGACTTCTCCTCTCACAGCTAAAACCTTCTGTGCCTCAGAGGCAAGCAAGGTGGGTCACCTACAGATACTAAAAACTCAAGTCCCTTCTGCCTGTGTTGACCCTACAGTTCCCTGCCATTAGCTACAGGCACGGGTGGACAACTCTGAGCCTCCCCTTACCTGCAGTTTGCTTGCAGCTCGTATTCATCACCCTGACCAGGGAGACGTCATGTCAGCACAAAAGGCACGCTGGATGGGGCACAGCGCTGCAGCAAACACCTAGTTAATTTAGGGGAAGTGCAGGTTTCCCACAATTCGTTCAACAGGCAAGCTGGCTTTATTATTTTTCAACTGTATAAATGGATAATCTGGGTCTTCTATACATTCCATTATAATAGGAAATTCTTTACATTATTAACATAATAAATAACATTTACTCAGCTGTGCAAGTCAAGAGTGCAAAATGAATTGCACCACTACCAAAGTAGATAGCTGATCAAAGCACATATTTCAAGTTAAAAGCAAGATGCCAGGACTGAATGGCATGATTGAGGCACTTGCAGTTTAAAACACCTGTGGTTTATCTCACTCTTTACCACCCAAAGCTGTAGACTAGGAGACAGGATATTATCCCCTGTCCTATAGCTTTTTCATAAAGTAGGATTTCTGTAGAAAAATTTCACTCTTCGGACTTGAAAAGAATTCAACCAATCATTGAGCCAAATCATTCAGAAAAGTTATTTTGCTCCTTTTTTGAGTACTCAAACATCCATTGCCATTAATGCTAACGCAGCGTAGCAGAACAAGAACTAAGGAAAGCTTTTTGAGGAGAGCTCCACAGAACACCTTTAAAAGGTTTACCTGTTCTCCCTTAGACACTCTCAGAGTTCGAGTAATGGCAGCTGCACACAGAACGGAACCGACAAAAGCCCTTAAGACTTGGGGACGCAGCATCGTTTTCAACAGGATGCGTCGAGAAGCCTCCCAATGCACAGTTCAACAGCAGCATGAAATCGCGCTGGCATTTCACACATGCCAACCCACATAAATGTGCAGTGCTTCGTGTGCTGAAAGAAAATGGAGGGGCTGCTGGAACCATAACACCTGGAGACCTACGTTCAGATTCGGTGGCTGGGTACCTTAAAAATGGAATGTGTTTTAAACTAGACCATAATATATACAATCAAACCCAGGGATGGAGAATTAAGGGCCCATATTTCAAAAGTGCACTTAGCATACAGTAGTCTCTTTCACATAGCAAGAAAGGCAGCTGCTTTATATCCAGAATGCGAGGAAGTTTGACCGGGATGGTGTCAAGAACATCCTCTGCAGAACAGTCAGTAGTCCCAGCTGATATCATCTTTCTGTAGGGAAGTCTGTATGGTCTGCATGTCTCTCAACAACTGAAGATTTTTCCGACTCTTCTCTCCAGGTTTCACTTTGATAGGACCAGCATTCTTTCCTTTTGTGGTTACTGTTGTTGTTACTTGAACCTCACTAACAGGGAACCTGCTGTCTTTTATTTGTTTAGCAGAAGTCTTTTTGGACTTGCATTCTCTCTTAAGTCTCTCTAGCTGAAAGATAAGCCCAAAAAAAAAAAAACATTAAGCAGTGACCTTGTTTCAGTTTATGTTCTGCAATTCTTCCAGGCAGCTGAAATATCCCACAACTCATCTCACCCAGCTAAGCAAATGGATGCTCCCAAGTCACCCTGAATAATAAATATTTTGTTTTCCTGACACAGCATTCCTATATTCACATCTTTAGAACTGTGTTCAGCTTATAGTTTGAAGTGCTAGGTTATCTCTTTAAAAACTGACAAGTTGATCATGGGGGAATGTCTCCATCATGAGCATAATAGAAGTAGTTTATTACGACAAAAGTTGATTTGTCACTGTTACCATCCAGTGATCAAAAAACAAACAGAAAACAAATTTTTCTCCACACACACTAGTGATTTTAATAGCTGGTCACTGTCAAGAGATGTAGCTTTAAAAAGAACACCAGAACTCTGCTGAGGTGAAGAGCTGGTATCCACACACAGCACTATAAATCACAGCTTGTAAGACTCGGTGCTCGGCAACGAGGACTGAGCTGGCATAAGCTTCAACAGGGAATTGGACAGAGTCTAAGGTGCAGACGCATTCATATTCTCAAACTGCAAAATGGCTGGCTTCCACGGTTCCCCTCACTTCAGGTAGTGGTGCTCCCTCCTCCTAGTTTATAGCATGCAGCAATTTCCCTAAATGCTGACTCCTAAAACTTCTGTCAACAGCTGGTCAGAAGCCTCAGTATATGCAGAATCATTACTACTGGGAACTACTACACATCTCTTTCTCTGCAACAGTTCCTCTGAAGATCTTAAGAGGTCAAATGTGAGTAATGTTTCTGTTTGAAAACATTTCACATGTCCATTTTGGATGTCAGCAGCAGTGCTCTCAGTACGTATTTTGTGTATAAGTTACGGCAGATGAGGGTGAACCTTGGTTCATATGAACCAAACCAGATTAAACATGGTGTTAAGCTCTTTGGAAGAATTTCACTAAAATGAATGAAGATTAGAGAAAACAGGGAACCAGTAGGTTTTATAGCTTTGGATGACTACACTATTCAAAACATTTTGAAAGTTGCTTTAAACTGAAACAGATATTTCAGGTTTTATAAAATGTAAATCAAAACATAAATAGGTCATTTACTCCAAGCAAAGCAGAACTGTTAAAAGATTCAGCTCAACAGTGAAAGCCCCTGGGAATCTATGCACCTCTCTAAATACAGTTTAGGTTACTTTCATTCAATGTGAAGCACAGCATTTCACGAGGGCTTTTCCCCACTATCTGTGCAGCTGGTTGTCGCTAGGGACCTCACGCAAAGCGGTTGCTTTGGTTCAGCACAGCTGTTTGACACATGCCAGAAGTGAGTGTGACTGATCAGAACACAAGTATCTCCTGACACATCAGATAGCCGACCAGAAATATCTCCCAGACAGACCGCTGGGGGCCCAGGAAGTAGACTCACACCTTTCAGCCCTATACGCCATTTCTCATCTTGTGTATTGCCCAACCAGCTTATGCTGTGTTTACAGAATTCAACAGCTGTGGGATTTGCAACTGTACAGTGGACAATCTTTTCCCTGTTTTGGGGATAAGAGTAGTGTAAAATGCAATGCAAGAATGGATGTGAAAACTCTCTCTGCCCAGGACAGGATGAAGAGTGAGCACAAGGGTGGCATGGTAAGACAGAAAGGATACTCCTGTAGAAATACTGGAATAGAAAGATGGAGGTATGCAGACTAAATTTGGGACATCAAAGCTAAAGCTAGGCACTACTGCTCTACATAGTTATTTCTGCTTTATTCAATTACTGCTAAATTAGGATAGAACGCAAAAAAACCCCAACCTTAAGATAGCAACTCAACAGAAGCATGAACATAGTCAAAAGTAACTCACCTGCAACCGATGCCTCCGGACTTTGCTGATCTGGTCTGCCTTTGCTTCCATCTTTCCCACCAGTGCCTCAAGTTCCCTCTCCAGATCTTCCCTCACTGCAATGGTTGGGGCTTCCTGGACAAGCTTTGACAGCTGCTGGTGATCACTAGCATGGAATTTAGACAGAACAAAGCTTGCATCAGACTCCCTTGGCTTCTAGTGCTTGTACACCCAGTTCAGAAATAACACTTCTAGGAAACCATAGCATCAGCAGCCAGACATGTCAACATGCCACAATGAACCAGTAAGAACAGTTTTGCTGGTTAGCAACATTATTACAGTAGCACATCCTGGTGGCAGGCTGCTGCAATCTTAAGTCTCAGTAACAAGTAGCTTCACAGGTTCTAAATAACCCCTTGAGGGTATGATATCAGCACTCATTCAGTTACTATTTTGCATATCTGTATCTACTGCAGTTGTGCGGTAGGATTCATATTCTGTCAACCAGGTCAAACAAAATGAATCAAGTAAAGCCGTCCTTTAATGGAGTATCTGGTCTGTTACCACACCTCTCCCCAACCCCTCACAAATTTGATACTGCGGTATATAAAAACAGGCATGCAGTCCACATTGTTTATCAGAATTTATTTTTAACTGCAAAAATAAATGACAGCCTCCGCAGCCAGTACAACAGAGAGATTATATGCCAGAGATTTCCCAAAACTAAGTCCCTTCTCAGGAAAAACCTTCCAACTTTAAAGCAGAAGGCAAAAATATGAAGCATCCACATTCATAATCTGCAATGGAGAATACGCCAAACTCACAAACTCATCTGCCCAAATTCATCTTGCAAAGTCAGCAGCACTTCCGAGAGCTCTTCCTGGGATGAAGAAGAGTCCTTTGGCAGAGATGACTTTCTGCTTTTGCTGGCAGGATGACCAGTACTGATGGGTTTTGCTAGCGGAGTATCATTTACCACACGACTGTTACACAAAGCTTTCGTGTGTTGTTTCATCAGGTGTAGGACATGTTGCACATTGGCGCCAACTGAATGACTGGGACTGGTAGACTGGAATAAAAAGTGGAAGAGACTTCTTTTAAATGGCATTGTCAACCACCTACTTGATAATAATGGAGAACATTTAAAAACAGTAACATTTTTTATTTGCTGCCAAGAATGTATTTTTTGTTTGAATGAATACGCACTAACAAGAGCAGCTTGACTAGCAGCATAGAGAGGACACATTTTTTTGGAAATGCTACTTCAGCAAGTTATCGATACTCAACAAGCCTATGGAAGGCAAACTGGAAGAGTCCAAGAAAATTAAATGATCTGACCACTGGGTGTCAGGAGTGCACCAAACCAAAGACACCTAAGGAGCTGCAGCTACTGAGCATTAAGCTTTGGAATTAAGCAGCTCACCTTCCCAGCTACAAAGGGTACATCACCCAGACACAGTCTGTAATGGGGCTGCGCAGTGAGATGGCCTGTACGAGAGCATTTCTGGAAGAAAGAATAGAGAAATGTTTATCAAAGATGACACTACAGCAAAACCATTTTCCCTTTGCTTTGTAATAAGAGGCAGACTACCTTCCTGACTGCATGCACACACCCTTATTTAACTCCTTCTCTTCCCCCCATGTTACCTTGTCCGGCTGCTTAGGTTTTTTCCTGGGTTTTCTTGCTTTTGGAGAAAGCAATGGTGATGCTGCTTGAATCAGTAGTCTGTTGGTTTCCAGGCCTGTCTGAAGCTTTAATTGAGGGAATAAGGGCAGTTACTGGAATTATATTAATAGATAATCAGAGACAGAGTAAGCTGAGAATTGCAAAACAAGAATTTTTAAAATACAGGCTCTCTGAAAGCAAGGGCTGCAAGTTTTTAGGATGCTTCTGCAGTCCAAGGTCAATTTAAACATTAAATAAGAATAATTCCTCTGGTAGCACTACTCATCACTAATCCTAGTACGTCAGAGAATTAGTCTTACTGCATTACTCCCAAGCAGGCAAGTGCCAAAACATCAGCTGTGCTTTACACTTTACAAAATGTTAGGGAAGTCGAGACACCCACCCTGCTCAATTATCCTGTGGCATATAGTTTACAGACAACTACTCCTTCTGTTCTATTAAACCTGACAGTAAAAAAACCCCAAACCATCTATTGGAAGAGTTAAGGTCAGGATTCTCACTGTCGACAGTGAGCTCTATACGCTTCGCTGTTCCTTCCAACAGGAAGCTACGGCATGGCTTTAGAAATCATCTCCTAACCAGTCTCAACTAGAAGCATTCACAGAACACAGAATAATTATTCATGATTAATTTGAGACACCCTTCCCCCCGCCCCCAAACTCATGGCAAAGGTTAATGCCAGAGCCTACATTACCTACATACTTCTTCAGCATACAATGAACATTTAATGAACACAACACTTCAAGGTTAGGAGAAGACCAGTGTCCTTATGGGTTCATAACCAATAGTATGTTGCCTCTTTTTTGCCACCTCCTACAGTATTTCTAGTTACAATTATGAACAAGGGAGCACACTTGTTGACCTTGATCTATTTAAAGCAGAGATCCCCATACATCCTCAACTGTGAATTAGTCTGAATTTCTACTCCTCTTTTCCAACTAGCTTCTTTTATTGAAGAAATCAAGCTTCAGTGCACAGGTGCTGTTAGAAAAAGGTTTCCAAAAGGCTCAGAGAACTTCAGAGCATTTGGCACCTCAGACAGGAGAGGGCAAAAAAAACCCCCAAAAAACCCAAAGACTAAACCAAGGTTTTCATTATTCTGTATATGGGAGGCACTTTCAGCAAGTTTAGTTGAAAAGGTGATGGAAAGGAAGAGCTAATTACAGTGCATACCAGGACAAAAGAAATTTCCTGTTGGTTACCTCAGCTGCTTTTTCCTGAACAAGCTTCCTCGCGTGTTCTTCCTCCTGAAGCTTGTGTTCCAGCTCTTTCATTTTTTTCTAGTCAAAATTGAATAAAAATAATAGCATTACTAATGAAACAATTATTTTCTTCCTGAAGCCTACAATACTAAGAGCCTGAGCAAAAGTATATGAGTTGAGCTTAGGACTTAAAGCTAAGTGAAGACTTCAGCATTAGAATGATTGCTGACATTTCGTCTGTATAGGCATAAATTCAGCAGTCAAGTGCTTACGCTTAACGCTTAATTGATTTTTCTATTTTTACTTCTGCAATTGGTATCTGAATTTAAGTCACAGCCTACAGGGAGAGCAATACACAAGGCTGTCTTTCTCTTTGGTTCTAAAAAAACCCTAGGAAGTAGGTTGTTTTGTGCACATTATCCTGAAAGATTTTGTACTACAAAAGGACTAACAAAGGTATATCATGTATCATTATAAGCTGAGAGAAGATTTGCTTTATTTAGACCACAAACGGTATTTTTGCTAATATCTGTAACTTAAACTCTTAGAAAAGAGGAATTTTTGAACATCTAACCACCTTGCTAATAAAGAAGAGGGAAGAAAGTTTACATGATGCCTCTGAGATATCTTTAAGCAAAACTGAACTGATTTCATCTTTTTATATGGTAAAAACATGTAAGAACTCTTTTGAAAGCCCTTTTCAAAGAAAAGGGTTAAGGGGAAAGGCACACATTTCTTTGTAAACCCTCCAACAAGATGAAAACCTTGTTTAAGCAGGATACAATGTGAAAGCTATTTGATAACTTTCTGATTTTATACAGCAAAGTGAAAAAACGATCCAGAGCTCCAGGACACAAAACAACTTCCCCTAAAGACTGATTATTCACAGAGCCACTAATCACACTTAAGGCAGAAAAGCATGCAATTCAAAGTAATAGCTGTATTTGTACACTTCCGTTTGTTTATAAACCCACTACACTGAGGTAGTAAATATTTCAATTCTGCTTTACTTAAGCATTAACTGCAAGATTAATGTAACCAGCTGTTATACAAAGGTGTTAAAAGGCAAAACCCTGGATAAACATTGAGGACAAAGGCACTATATAAAAGGAACCAACTTCTTCTGTTGAATAAAAGAACCTTTTTGACTATTTTTTTTTTTTTTCATTCAAATCAGATATATTCCAGGTAACTTTAAATCATCTTCTGCCCTTCACAGCATGCAGCACAATATTTGATTTCCATGTGGTCAGTCTCACAAAGATCTTTGGTTATCCTGTTAAGTATGACAGAATTTTTAATATGAAAATACTGAAGCAAATCTTCTGTTTGAACTGAAGACTGATATGAAGCTGGACCAATGCTTTTATACTGAAATGAATGACTATTCACTCACTCAGCTGTTTAGCTGCAGTGTGCAGCTCAAACTGCACAGCAAGAGTATATCTTATTGTGTCATCAGTGATACACCCTGCTAGAAATTATCTATCCAAGTTGTATTCCCAAAAGAAATTTTTTTTCTTGCTTATAGAAAAAAAGCATTACGCGGACTACTGGTCCATCACTGAGAGGGAGAGGCCAGAGGGCCAGCTAACAGCAAACACAGATGTTCCCCAGCCACACTGCCCATCACGTAAGGCAGCAGGGCACAGAAAGCGCACTGCCGGTCAGCACTGGGCTGCCTAAAACACTCTGCTCAGTCACCACTAGCTGCTGCAAAAAATTTCAATGAAAAAATAGAAATAAAATATTTCAATGTCTATTTTTGCCTGTTTTCTAAGGGAAATTAAGTTTCATGCAATCACCTCACTCACAGAATCACGGAATCACAGAATAGTTTGGATTGGAAGGG